CGCCGTCGCCATCGCTTCGTTCGATGTCTTCCTCGGCCTCTTCGTCATCATCAGTCGGCAGGTCGGAGCACGAGGCCACTTTGGCTGGGCTCCGGGAGCCCGGCAGCTCCATTGTTTGGCTTCTGCCGATGGGAGGGGTGAAGAAGACTTCGCTGGGATGGCTCTGTTCGGGGTCGGAGTCGCAGTCCGAGTCGCAGTCGGAGTCGGAGTTGGGGCCGAGGTGGGTTTCGGGTTCAGAGTCGGGGCAGAGGTCGAGTTCGAGGCCTCGGCCTCGGCCGATGGCGCTGGTGGCCGCCAGCTGCCGGAGCGGACCGGAGGCAATGGGATCTGTCGAGAGCAAATTGGCCGGCGACAGTGAGGCCGGCTGTTTTCCCAGTCTGGCCATCACGTAACTGGTCTTCTTCAGGTCGCAGACCATGTGGAGCCCTCCAGGCCGGCCCGGAGGACATTCAGCATCCGGGCAGTCTGACGAGGCCAGGAGGTGGAGCTGGGCGGCTGGGTGGGTGGGAAGATGAAATGAGCCAATAGGCCGACAGGGTCTGGCGATTCGGGAACGGGTCGGACTCTGTTCACAAAATATCACCTGCGCGAGACCTCATTTGGGGCTGCTCGGAGGTGGCGGCAGTGGCAGTCATGACGGCATATCCTGTACCCCCGAGGCCACAACAGACACGACGAGTCAGTCAGTGATAATTCCTCAAGAGAGTGCTCTACCAGAAGGCCGGATGATACAACCTGATACGGTCGCGACGAGTTCCAAAGACGAGGGTCTGTTGCCGTCTCAAGGGAAGCAGAAGAGATCATACATGCAAAGCCCTGACTGCCCGGCATGCCGGTAAGCACGTGGACGTCGGTGTGCCTGTGTCTTTGACTGTGTGTACGTGTGTGTGGGTCTTTGGGCCTGTCCACACCCCCGAGGCTGAATATGTATGCATACACATGGAAAAATGAACCAAATGTCTGTCGGCATGGTGACCAATTGACAGTCATTGCTGTTTGTCTGTCTGTCTGTCTGTAGGCACCGCAGACTGTCGTCACGCCTGCTTCACCAGGCCTGGCCTGATTGAAGATCGTCTCTGTGTGTTTGCGTGTGTTTCGGCTCGAGATGCATCGGCCAATCTCTACTAGCGGGCTGGAACCGTCTGGTTCTGTGTCGCAAATGCGTGTGAGAGAGGAGAGTTGATAAAAGGTAACTCGGCTCCGTCTCCTCTGCCCAGCCGAGTGCGAGCAACAACACGGTAGCAACCGGAGCAACCAACAGAACTCGGACCGTGACTTAAGGCAAGGGTCAAGGCATCGCGTGATGAACTGACAGTCAACCCGCCTACAACAAGCTGGACTAGAGTATGTCTTCTGTTGTCGTTGCCTCGAGAATGGGCAGCAGTGCCAGCAGACTGACTCGACTCTATGAGCCAACAGCTTTTTTGTACTCATGAAATTTGAGTCCGTCTTCAATTCCCCAACTTGGAGATGTCTTCGAGCATTCTGTTTGACAGTGAAAGGAAAATGAGCACAAAATTTCAAGGTTTCTCTGTCGTCAACTGTGGACTCACTTAAAACTCGTTATAACTTGGTGAAACGAGATGTTCAGCAAATAATTACGCGGAAATATTACATCCTCAATAGGGGTTCTAGCCAGCATGGTTTGCTTAAGGCGATGACTAAGAGATTAGTGAAGTTTCCCTAATAGTATGAGTAGACATTATCATCTAATGAGAATTTTAAATATAAGGAAAGAATTATTAGTAATCTTAGACGTAATATCAAGACATACCAGCATCATTTTTCGTTTATAAGCAGGTTTTCAAGACCACCAGTAGATAATATATATAATATATATATATATGTATACACGATGTATTTACCCTAATTCTCTTAAGGTGACTGATAGTTGAAGTTCCTTACTACATTTCATATAGTCTCGCTTTTACAAAATGCAGTCTCCTCCTGATTGAGGTAGACGGCAGTTTCGACCATTTTCCCATTTCCAATTTTTTGTTGGGATTGTTGAAGAAGTAAAGCTGTATTCTGCTATGGCCACTGACTACATTACTTATTTTTCGTACGGGTAGTGTCAAAAACCAGTATTCGATCGCTTTACCAAAATAGAAATTTGCTTTATTGAAAATCCCACCACAAAATGTACTATGGGAAAACGCCAGGCCTTCCTTAAAAGTTATATTTGCTCTGAGACCTAAGGGCACCCTTGGCAGTCTGGCTTAGTGGTTAAAGTGTTAAAATTATACGCCGCACTACCACATTTCTGGTTCGAGTCCCGCTGCATATCACCTCAGTCTGGATGAGAATACCTTTTGAGATTAAATAGAAACTTAAGGTATATTTATATTATTGGCGGAAAATCTAACTACCAGTTCCCTTATCATCTTAAACGAAATAGAGTGACTACATCTCATATAAACCATCTTCATGATTTCTGAAAACATTCAAGAAAAGATCTGGTTTATTACTACTTAACGTTTAGTGAGCAGCCTATTGTTCACCTATGAAAATTTCGCCTAGCAGATTAATGAAACTTCAAAATATTTCTGTTAATAATGTAAAATTTAGTTTCGGATAGTACTTAATTGCATCAACACAATTTGATATTAAGAAAAAAATCACCTGAACAAAGGTGCTGATGAAATCGTATTATATTTGAGGTCAACGCTTTTCTTCCTCAACCCGCAAGTTTATGGCTAGAATCCCGCTGGGGCCGCGGATGGGGTGAGGGGATGAGGTCGAAGCCGCAGTAAAGTTTGTATAGAAAGAGCTTTTTTGGAGACACAGTGAAGGAAAAATGCAATGCATTAATCAGGCCCTATTTTTACTTTATCGTGAGAACATAACAAGACAATTACAGATAAATTATTAATTTAACAACCACTTTAGGCTAGAAATAAGTTTACAACGGAACTGCAAAAGATGAAAGTTAAACATTTTTGGATTTCCTGTCTTATGAGGAGTTAGAAGAGACTGAGTATGTCTGTTTAAAGTATACAAGTGTGTGCTGTTTCATTCTTCACTTCCCCTCCAAACTAGGCATTAAAAACAGAGATTAGTTTCATAATGTATTTGACTGTTGTTAGGATTAAGTAAATGAAAAGGAACCAATTGGACTTTTAATTTGATAGTCATAGGTATTTGGTTAAAACAACTCCCGGTTAATTGGAAACGAAATGTATGCTGAACTAACTGGGACAAGAAAGGGAGTTAGAAAACTCAAAGCATACCCCAAATTTGCCATCCTGACGTCTTTTGAAAAAATTATATTATGTAGCAGAGTAGAGAGCGAAAACGGTTTTCAAGAAGAACTGAATTTTTTCGCCCAAACTGGGAATCATTCTATGGTTGGAGAATCCCTTTGCCCCATTAGCCAATTATTGAATAAAGACAAAAATGATTTTAGAGGCTGCTGAAGCTGACAGGCAAACAGGGTTTGGCCTCAAACTCCTCAATTCCTTAATTACTACGCTTTAGCTGTTAGAAGATTTTTAAATCTACGGTGTAGATAATATGTTGATTGTAAGAAATAAGGGAGTTGGAGGTTAAGTAAGACTAACGTGCGTCTGATTTACAAAGTATACTATTTTTGGTCCTTATATATGAATTATATATACATATATACATGTTATACACATATGTTAGGCACATTTACTTTCGCACATTAATCCACATCCCTTATTGGAAATCGCATTTATGCATCATTCGTTGTTGCTAAGTCTGTATGATTAACTGAAATTGTAGATGTTGGCTTCTTTTTCATACTCGCACATAAATATATACACACCGACATAAAAATAGAACATTCAAGTTATTTAATGCCTCTTTTTAAGTTCATTTTCTCGCTTATTTACTGCGTGAAGGACGTTACCTAGTTTACTTGAGGCTGCCGCAAGAGTGATGCCCTGTACTGATGGTTTTTGTCACTTGACAGATGAAAGTTGCGCCAATTTTCGCCCAAGCTCTTGGTAGGGGTCTTGATAACTGCCTAAGAATGAGTGTCCCAGCCAAATCGAACGTCAGCAAGTAAATGAGCATCCTTTGCTGTCTTGTAGTGAGATAAACATTAGATCAACAATATACTGTCATACTACTTGAAAATGAAGAAAAAATTGTCTTCGATGAATTATGACATGACTTTTCATATTAAAAGAAGAGTATATAGGAGGGAATTCGTGAATTAATTACACCGAAAAACGAAGGAGGCTTGTCGTTGTGAAAAGGCGGTTAAATTATGTGAAGAAGCCACAAGCTAACCGTCCTGTCACCCCATTTCACCAAATCTGAGCTTTCGTCTGTATCGTGGCAAACATAATCGAAATGAAAAGTATTGTCAAAATCTTAAATGCTTGCCAGCCAAACAACGATCTAGCAGAAGGCGCAATATTGTCTGTCATTTTAAAGCCAAACGGATGTCGAAATATGAAGCAGGCATGCGCGAAACTGAGGACCGAATTTCACATTTACGTGACAAAACCGAAAAGTAAAAAGTTGTTACTTAGTTTCTTTTGCTTGTTTTCCATGGAATTTTCCATCTTCATGGGTGCTTTGAGTGGTTGTATCAAGCAGTGCGAGGCCAATTTTCATAAGAAACCTCTTCATCTTTGGTCTATGTCCAAAAGAGACGGGCTCTAGAAGTGATCATTGAGGAAGTCAACTGAAAAAGTGGGAAATGCTGACGTTTGGGGGGCCTAGTTAAGTTTCAACAGAAGTCTCCTTTATTCCCGTTTTCTCTCTTTACCGGCTCTGATCATTTTTAGTGTTTATTTACTGCAATATGATTGAATAACACCATTAAATAAAGCTTTTTTTATCGACGAATTATTGCCATCATCGCTCAAGAAAGGCGTAAAATTGTTGGCAAGTGCTGATGCAACGCTTAAATACTCCACACAACAGTACCGGTAGTTAGAGTCAAGATTGTTTCACCGTTACATGTTTCCTGGTATGAATTATGGGTTTCCAATTGCCAAGCTTACCCAAACAGGATTAAAAGGTGAAGCAGCCAAGAAATTAAAGTAACCTGGTTATATGAGATATTCTGAATTCAAATAAGTAATCACAGCATATCCCCATCCATAAAGTAGTACCGGATCAGTATGGATCCCATCATTTCCCGAATTAAATTTAGCTGGCAATATAACGTCGAATCCCTTCCCGAGAATCAGAGCAGATGATAAGGACGCTGAAAATTCTGTCATGCGACGAAGACTACTGATTCTTTGACATCTGGAAGAGCCACATAGTGAAGAGATTAGCATACTATTAAATATGGCCGAACTCGCATTTTTCCATTGGTGCTAAGGCAAAACTCGGTCGGAAAAATCGAAGAGATGCAAGTCACATATCGGTTTTTGCAGTAAATCCTAATTGCTTAGTTACTATCAAAATAGATGACATTTGTCAACCTTAAAATGAACGGTGGTGCATATAAAATTTCACCTACGGTTTTGACAGCCATTCAACTCTCTAGGTTGTAGACACCAAATACAATTCTCGCTGTAGAGCTCCGCTTACGGAGGTATTGCATTTGACATTAAATTAATGTAGGCTTATTCTAATTTATGAAAGCCACCCAAAAAAGAAGTTCACATATTATCCGAATAAAATTGTATAGAATTCCTAATTCGTGATCTCCAAAACTGTGGAAAATTGGGCAGCAAATCTGACTCTCATTAAAGGTCTTATGCAATTAGAAGGGCTGTCAATACTTGTCGGCACACCAAGGCACTGACATAAAAAGTTTAAGCGTCATGATCATTGGTCAGCCTGTGGGATCACCATTCTCACTTCTGCAGGATTATGTCAACATGGAAAAGTTGGAGAGAAATTTTAAAAGGTCGCCTTAACAGCCCAAAGTAATTATGAGATATTGGGATGACCACTTCACAATATAGTCACATGAAATAGAAAAATTAGACGATTTCGTGATTTACATAAACTAAATGGATAGATGCCATAAATGTGGAAGAGAGCGGGCACTGATCGTTTTTGGACATGGAGGTTGCCCACTCTACGGAAACCAGCAAGAAACGACCTTTCCTAAAGAAATCGCATGTTGGAATGACTCTTAATTTTCAGTCGAACTATACTTATGGGATTAAGGCTGGAATACTTCTGAGTATGGTCATACCAACCTTACGACCGACTGATTGTGAGTTTTGGAAAGAGGAACTGGGAAAACTAACTCAGATGTTTAATGAAAACGGATATCGATAAGAATCAATACAACACAACATACGGATGGTGCTGAAAGGACGGAGACTATGAAATGAAAGTAGGAGGAGCAGAAGGCAAATTATGGACGTGTCTACTCTCCTGCGAATTGGAACATTGGTACAATCCTGGAGGAAAAGAAAACCCTCTTAACCAGCTTGCTCACACAACATGAAGAGGTCAAAAAATTGAGCGCTACGGAGTTTAAAGCATAGACT